CAGGTACCAGGATCATCTACGACCGCAAGTTTTTGATGGAGTGCCGCAACTCCCCGGTGGCCAAAACACCCCCCTCCGACCTTCCCGACATTCCAGGCGTCACCAGCCCCAGCGTGGAGGAGCTGAAGCTGGAAAACCACCACGTGCAGAACTGTGAGGAGAAAGCGAGCGCAGGTGAGTGCAGGCAGCCTGTGAGGTGCCCTGCTGGTTCCTAGAAATTCCAGAGCTGGGACTGAGCCAGGAGGTTCCAACGAGCCGAGGTCAATGCTCCAGTGACTTCTCGGAAAATCAGAGTGGGCTCCATGTCGTGGGGGGGGACGAGGTCCTGGTGGTTGTTTAGCCCTGCTGTGGGCCCCAGCAACGTGACTTTTTCAGTTATTAAGTGTGATTTGCTGTAATTCCCGTTAGTTCAGCGTTTGGGAAGCTGCTGCTGGATCAGGAGCCCTGTGAAGAGCAGAGGAGGCAGCTGTTGCTGCCTCTCCCTGTCCTGGGCCGTGCTGCAGCTGCTTGGAGCTTCAGGTTACAATTCACAGTAGGATTTACTCAGGGTTTTTAATATCAGCACGAGTTGTAAATTCCTCCTGCCTGTTTCTGACCCCACTGTGTGACAGGGACACTTCACTGAGGCCCTGAAGCAGCAACACGAGCCACTATTGCTTTTGAAGAACAGTTTTTAGAGTTATTTGAGGTTATTTCTTGAAGCAACATGAAGCTACCAAATGCAAGTGCTTATCCTCTCTCTAAAAATAAAATCCTGAATGCTCCTGTTGGCTTCCATGCTCGCTCCAAGCAGAATGTTTCCAGAATTGCCTCATGCCTTCACACTCTCGTGACCTCAAGTGTCTCTCTGGACCCTCTGTCACCCCGAAATGCAGGCTGGGTGCCGGGTTGTGACTCTCCCAGAGAATCCCTGTGCCCAGGAACAGATCCTGGCTGCTCTGGCTGGCTCCTGTCAGGCTGTGGGAGCAGCTGTTGGGATAATGGTTATGGAATGTGGCTGTGTGGGTTCGTACCAGGGATTGTCATCAACGTGGGTCTTTACATTTCCTGTTAACAAGGACAGCCAGGGGTAGGGATAAATTATTTAAAGGGCTTTTTTCTACCTCTGCTCTTGTCGGTCTGAGGAGGGTCCCCCAGAGCTGACACCTTTACAAGAGCTCCACGAGATGGTTTTCACACCAGCCTTGACACCTAAATGCAGATTTTTAAGCCCAAACTGCCCCATTTCTGAAGCACAGCCACCAGTCTCTCCTTCACTAAAATCTTTGGTATTTGATGTGGAACTCTGGGGACTCATTTGTGGTTTTGCCCCTTCAGCAGGTGAGGAAGAGCAGTTTGACATGGACATCTAAGGCACCTGCCCGGAGAGTGCTGATCCAGTGAAGCACCAGGACTGGTCTTGAGGATTCCCACCAGCCAGGCTTACAGCAGCCCATGCCTTGAGTGCCTTCCTGCTCCTGGGAAAGGCAGCTGATTCCCTTGGGAGAGCAGAGCGTGTCCTGTTCCAGGGGCCGGGTCTCGGAGTGCCGGAGGAGACACTCTCACCCCTTTGGTTTTGGTTCCAGTTTTATGCTTTTGTTAATCATTTTAATACTGTAACAGTTACAGAAGTGCTATATAAGGGAGAAATAAAAATCATGTGGAGTCTCCTGGTGTGGAGATGAATGCAATAAATGTGGCTTCTGTCCCTTATTCTGGCAAGAAACCACCGGCCTGAGGCGTTAGGAAGGGATCAGGTGGTCCTGGGCATCAGCCTCAGGTACCCCCTGTGCTGCTGGGGCTGGGCCAGACATCCCTGTGTCCCAGTCTGGCTTTGAGGGGGGAATTTTCATCTGAGAAAGTTAATTTTTCCGTTGGGAATGCTCAATTTGCGTCCCCTGGACCAAATATCTGCGGTTTTAGCCTGGGGTTTAATAAACTGTGGTCTGCAGGAGTTTGTGACATTGTTGCTGTGTGAATGCTGAGGGGGAGTGGGGGCACCTCAAAGGAGGACAATCCATATCGGGACACAGCCCGGACCTCAGACTTCCTGAACCACAATGAGTGTCTGTGCAGATCAGTTTCTGTAGATAGCTTTTAAATATCTGCTAATGAGGCTCAGGGGTGACATTATGGTATGCAAACCCTTAATAATGAGTAACAGAACAAAGCAATTGCTGCAGATAAACCCGCATTTCTTTAAGATAAGATTTAAGGGTTTCTCCGAAACCTTAATGGGAACAAATCCAAATTTATTGCCCTCAGGTGTGACTTTATCAATAGTCTTGCAACTCTGCACGGGTTTGGGTTCTGATGAGGGTTTAGAGAGGAGCTGCTTCCAGAGGCAGGAGCCTTGTGGGGTCGGGATTTGGTGCTGGTACAAAGGCTGGGATTTTGGGGTAAGTGTCAGGTATTGCAGGTAATGCCCTTAAATCCCATTCCCTCCCACCTGCAGGAGAGGTAACACGTGCTGGAGGTGTTAAGTACTTTGTCCCTGCCCTGGCAGCTTTGCATCGGTATCTGAAGCTTATGCAGATCTGGGGGAGCATCAAAGCCCCAGGTGCCTGGGACAGCAATGCATAGCTGATAATTCGGAGGGAGGGGGGGCTCCCTGTGAAACACCTGGCCAGGTGTGACCAGGGCTCTGTCCAGGAGGGACAGGGCTCCCGCTGGGCTCCTGGGGTGGGGCCCTGGGGCCACAGGCACTTTGTGGGGGGCAGAGAGAGCCCTGACCGAAGCTGTGGATGGGATGAGGTGACGTGACACTTGTGGGCATCTGCTCTCCCTGCAGTTTGTCCTAGGCCCATTCCTTGAACTTTTCCACCCGTGGTGTGGGACCAAGTGGCCTCAGCATCCCATAGCTCCAGTCCTTCACCCCCTCCCTCACTCCCCTGGCCCCTGCATCCCTCAGCCAGGTGGTTTTGGATCCATGTCCTGCATGTCCTGAGCCATGCACGGAGCAGCTCAGCGTTCCAGGGCAGATCCCTGCTTCCCCAGGCTCTGTTCCTCACCCAGCACTTGCACTCCCAGGCCGAGGGGCTGCTTTTCCTGCAGGCTGAGCCCTGGTGAGCACGGAGGGAGGGAGGGAGGGAGGGAGGGAGGCAGCTGTGGGTGGCTGTGGCACAGCTGGGATGCTCTGGGGAGGTCCAGGGACAAGTGTTGGCTTTGTCATTGCATTTCCCATCCCGGCCCCTTTTTGTCTCAGGAGGGTAGAGCAGCACACCTGGCATCCCTGAGTCCTGCTCCACATCCCTGAGTCCTGCTCCACATCCCTGAATCCTGCTCCACATCCCTGAGTCCTGCTCCGTGCCCCTGTCGCAGGCAGGACCCCTTGGCAGGGCACTGTCCCCCCACTTTATTGCCCTGAGTGTTTGGGCTCCCTCTGCCCCCCGATGTGGATTGGGGCAGGAGCAGGGCCACGGCTCTCCCAGCTCGGGTCAGGTCCCTGCTCGCAGCCCGAGCCTGGCAGAGCCCGGCTCGCCTAAACCCGGCTTTATGGTCGCCGTCCACACTTTGATGTTTTCCTTGCAGCCCTGGAATCTCAGCCTCTATTTTTCCACCCTGCTCTTCCCAGGGAAGGGCTGCTGCCTCCCCCTGCCCCGCCACAACTTTTGAACCCGCTGCTGGATTCCAAACAGGCGTGATGGAGGGGCAGAGATGGCAGAGATACAGCGGGACGAGGGGGCTGGGGGGCCAGGGGGTCCCTGGCTGGGCGTGGGGGTGTGAATCCTCCCGTTTATGAGCAGGAGTAGCAAAGCTGCCGAGAAAGAGGCAAAATAATGCGATTTTATGTCACCCACAGCGCAGATGTGCAGGTTTCTGCATGGCTTTGCCTCCTGCCGGGGGTCAGCCCCGCGCCCCCGGCCCACCCTTGACAGCTCCTGCAAATGACCCTCTAATGACGGGATGGTCGCAGTGTGAAAGCTGTTGGAATATGTAAGCGGCCCCGGGGAGGGTCTGCTGGGGAGGGGCGACACACCAGACACGCTTTGTTTATCCCGCCGGCTGGGATGTGGATTGGGGATAATCAGGCTGGGCTGGGATGTGGAGTCGGGGCCGCTGGTCCCAGGAGGGGCGGGATGGGGGTGGCCCCTGCCCCATCCTGCGCAGCCACCTGGACCACCAGGGCCACCCCCGACGCTTGTGGTCCCACCCGTCCCCTCGGCTGCCCGGGGGCCACCGTGGGTCCCTCGAGAGTGCCGTGTCCCCAAATACATGGCTGAGAATCCACTGCTGTCAGAGAGCACGGCCCTTCCCTTATCTCCGATGGGTAAATGAGGGTGGGAAATCCCTTTAGCCTCCCCTTCCCTGCCTGCAGGTGCCTCCCCATCAGGGTGGGAGCAGCTTCATCCTGATATCACTTTGGAGCTTTTGGGCATCTTTTGCACCGTTTGAGGGACCCCTTTGCTCTGGAAGTGTCAGGAGCAGCCAGAGCCCACCCACTCTGGTGTTACTGGTGAAGGAGCAAATGGACAGAGAGATGGGGGAACTGCCCCCTGACGGACCACCAACGGCAAAACCGGGCTGAGGAAATCAGCTGAACCACCAGGCGTTTTTAATATATATATATATAATTTATTGATGAGTTTTACAACTGTGACCCTTTCTCCACCGCCCCATCCAGCGAGGGGGGAAAAGGCTCGAGCAGATCCATGGCCTCACAGAGGGAGCAAGCAGAGCGTGCTGTGGCAGGGAGTGATGCTGCCATGCTCCAGTCCTGCACCTCAGCCCCTGCCTCTGCCCAGCAGCACCAACCCTTGGCTGCCCGGGCACACCTTCCAGCAGCGCCACAGCTCCTGGAAAAGCACGGTGAGGGGCACCAAGGTGCCACAGGGAGGTGGCTGGTGGCCTTTCCTGCATGGAGCCTTGATCCAGCCATGCACCGTGGCCATGGAGCACCCCACCTGGGCACCACACCCGGGCACCCCACTCCTCCCCTGGCCCAGCCAGGGCTTTGCCGACCCACAGTCACACGGTGAGAGCGATGGGCGTAGCTTGGGTGGTCGGTCCTTGGGGGCACTTTGGGCAGAGATGTGCCCCTTCCCAGCAGGGCACGAGGCGGCCTCAGTTGCAGCCGCACTCCTCGATGATCATGTCCTCGTGGTGGCGGACGACGATCTCGCCCTTCTCGTAGTAGAGCATGGAGAGGGGACTCATCCTGACCGGGGAGCAGGCGGGACACGGCACCTGGTTGGGCTTGTAGAGCTGCAGCAAACTCTGTGGGAGACACGGGAAGGGCAGAACATCCCCCTGCCGTGGGTGGGGGGCTGGGAGCGTGGGGGGCAGCTGATCTTACCTGTATGTACGCGTGGTTGGTGGGCTTGAAGGTCTCGTCCACGGGCGAGGGGCACAGCCCTTCGCACCGGTAGGCGTTGTACTTTTTGGGGTAGACGATCCAGCTGCCCCAGCCCGTCTGCTCGAAATCCACCATCATGTCCACCCTCCTGCAGAGGGCCCTGCCCTCCTCCCGTGGCGTGGCCGCAGCGGCATCACTCGCTTTGATCCTCTGCTTCTCCATCCTGTTCCTGCGGTGCCGGCGCGTCCCCCCGCCCTGGGATCCGCTGTCACGCATGATGTACTTGGAGGTCTCCGCCGTCCTGATGAGGCTGTGGCCTCCTGGAGACTTGTCCGTGGAGAAGACGAGCAGCAGGACTCTGTCTGCCACGTCCTGGGGCAGGGCTGGCTCCCCGTGGCCGGCGTCGCTCAGGGCGGGCGAGTGCACCGCGCTGGTGGCCGGGACGTCCGAGCCGTTCGCCTCCCACCGCTCCTGTCCCCCGGGGACCACGGCTTGGTGGAGCCAGGACCGGAGCAGGTTGGTGACCTCGAAGACTTCCCAGGAGGCCTGGGTGGCAGAGGGGCTGCCGGCCACGGTGCCCAGGAAGAGCTGGTGGGCGCAGGTCCTGTCGCCCCGGCACCTGCGGCGCTGGCTGTGGAAGATGTCCAGGGACACGTTGTGGGAGTGGGACAGCCCGGGCAGGCGGACGCGGAGCTGGGCCAGGCTCACCTCCTGGCTGCTGGACAGGGAGGACATGTCGAAGGAGAGCGCCCAGCGGGAGCCGTTCTGCAGGGAGCCTGAAAGCCAAGGGCAGGGTGAGGGGACGTGGGGCAGGGGGTGACAGGGAGGGATGGTGCCCCCGGGTCCCTCCCGCGGGAGCCCGAGGGTCAGGGGAAAGCCACTGGATCCATCCCCAGAGCCAGCCAGAGCCCCGGGCAGGGCCCGTCCAGGGGACAGGGATGCTCGGGACAGTGAGGGGCCCGGGACAGGGATGTTTGGGGACGGTGCAGGTCCCAGGGACGGGACGGTGCCAGAACAGGGATGCCTGGGGATAGTGCCAGTCCCGAGAAGGGGAATGGTGCTGATCCCGGGCACAGGGTTGGGTGGACCGCACGGGACCCGGGGGCAGTGTCGGTGCCAGGACAGGGATGCTCAGGGATGGTGTGGGTCCCGGGGACAGTGCCGGTGCCAGGACAGGGATATTCGGGGCCGCGGCCCCACTCACCGTGCGGGGAGAGGCTGAGAGCGGCGGCGGCGGCGGCGCGGAGCGGGGCGGGAGGGGCGCGGAGCAGCTGCAGCATCAGCGGAGGGCAGCGCGGCGGGGCAGGGGCCAGGGACCGGCTGGGTGCCGGGGTGGGTGCCCGGGGGGATGCCAGGGGGGATGCTCCGGTCGGTGCCCGGGTGGGTGCCCGGGGGGATGCGCAGCCCAGGCGGAACAGGGCGAGGGCGCAGAGCGCCAGCACGGGCGCGGAGCGGAGTGGGACCCGCATGTCTGTCCGGGCCACCCGCAGCCGCCCTATTTGTACAGCGGCCCCGAGCGCCGCCCCGGGCACCCCCCTCTCCGGCAGCCCCCTCCCCTCTTCTCCCCGTCCCTCTTCCCAGCCCTCCGTCCCTATCTCCATCCTCCCTCCCCTCCACCCCCATCTCTCCCCTGACATCCCTCCCCGTTTCCAACTCCGCCGTCCCTCGTTCCTCTCTTTCTCCCTCTCTCCTCCTCACCCTTCCCTGTCTGCCTCCAGCCTTGTTCACGCTTGACTCATCCCTCCAGCCCTCCAGTTCTTTTCCTCCTCCCTGTCTCCCTCTCCATCCCCCCTCCATCTCTCCTGGGCTCGTCCCCATCACCAGCTCTCTCCATCCCTGTCCTGCCGTGGCTGGCGGGCACAGGGACGGCACCACCCGGGACCCCTGGGGACGAGTGACCCAGGCACATTCCCTGCCACCCATCAATCCTGTCCTGCTCCTTGGAGAAGGGACTGGGACCTGTGGTACCCGAGGACCCCAAACTCTCCAGGCTGGGGTTCTCGGTGGGTTCCCCTCCACCGAGGGGGACAGTGTGATGTGATGCTCCTCCTTCCTTGGGGGAAACGTGGGGGCACCGGGGAAACCTGGGACCCTCCTAGGCTGCGACCGGGTGACGTCACGACCTTAAAAAGTGACGTCACGACAGCGAGGGGGAAAAACCGTGACGTCACGGCTCCCCTCCCCGCCGCGCAGTTCCCGGCGGCCTCCGCCAGAGGGCGCCGCCGCGCCGCGGTGGGGCCCACCGGGAGCGCCATCGCCCTTTGAAGCGGCGGGTCTCGCGAGAGCCGCGGGCGCGGGCGGCGGGCGAACATGGCGGCGGCGGCGGCAGAGGCAGCGGAACCCCCCCCGGAGCCTCCCCCGGCCCCGGAGCCCCCGGCCCCGCCGGAGCCGCCCGCCGCCGACACCGAGAGCGGGTACGGCCCTCCTGAGCAGCGCACGAGTGACCTCGGCCCCCCGCGTCGTGAGGGCTTTGATGAGGGAAGGGGAGGAGGAAGGAGGGGGTGGCTCGCCGCGTTGCCATGGGAACGGGGATGGGGGTCCCGCGCCGCCCCACAGGGGACCCCGGGGGGACCAAGCGACACCGACAGGGCTGGGGGGAGCTGCATGTGCCGTCCCACCCCGCGTCGGGCCCCGGGTCCGGGCTGAGCACCCCCCGTTCCGTTCCCGGGGGTCCCTCTGACACGTCTGTGCCCCGGCAGCGGGGACACCGCCCTGGCCGATGTCGCCACGGCCCTGGAGACCGAGTCCGCCAACGGCAAGGAGCCCCTGGTAGGTGCTGTGGGCGCGGGGAGGGTGTGGGGTGGGTCAGCCCTAAAAGATTTACGTGCCCCCAGCTTTGGGTCTGGAGAGGGTTGTTTTGGAAGTTAAATCCTCTCTCGTGTGAAGAGCTGAGTCTATGGAACAGCTCCAGTGGGGGCACGGATCAGGGAGAGGGATTTATTCCCTTTAAAGGTGGCAGTGTGGGATTCCCTGGCTCTGCCCAAGCAGTGTGTGATTCCCTGGCTCTGCCCAGGCACTGTGTGATTCCCTGGCTCTGCCCAAGCAGTGTGTGATTCCCTGGATCTACCCAGGCACTGTGTGATTCCCTGGATCTGCCCAGGCACTGTGTGATTCCCTGGCTCTGCTCCCACTCCAGGACACGGCTGGGGACGGTGCCGAGGCCCTGGACGCCCAGGGGGCCTCGGGGGACGAGGAGAACACGCGGCAGCTGGGCGAGATCGAGCTGCAGTGTGGCATCTGCACCAAGTGGTTCACGGCGGACACCTTCGGCATCGACACCACGTACGTGAGCCCTGGCAGCAGGAGGGGAGTGTTTTAGGGTGTGACTTCTCAAGGTCCATATCCTAGGACACTTGAAAACCACCCCTGGAGGTGTCCAGGGAAGGACTGGACGTGGCACTCAGTGCTCTGGGCTGAGGGGCAAGGTGGGGATGGGGCACAGGGTGCACTCCATGGTCTCAGAGATCTTTTCCAGCCTCAGTGATTGTGGGATTCCTTTAGCCTGGTGCAGCAATTACGGCGTACCCAGCCCTGACAAACCTGCTCTTTCCCAGGTCCTGTCTGCCCTTCATGACCAACTACAGCTTCCACTGCAACGTGTGCCACCACAGTGGGAACACCTACTTCCTGAGGAAACAAGCGAGTGAGTTTGGGAGAAGCACGTTTGGGGGGGTGTTTTGCGCAAGATAATCCTGAAGGTTTGGTTTTGTCCGACAGGGCTCTGCTGAGACTTTTGGAAAATGACCAAAAAATTCTTAGGAACAAGTCTGTGGCTTTTCCTAGAAATGTTTTGCTGTTTTAATTGATGAAGAGGGTGTAAATGTGTTCAGTGAGGGCTGATCAGTGTGAACTCCAGGGGGTTTTTTGCTGTTCCTCGGGGTGATGCTGCGGGGTCGGTGGTTGCTGTGTGTACACAGGGGGGTGTCTGATCTTCCCTACATGTATCCCTGGGGGGGTTTTGTATTCCAGATCTCAAGGAAATGTGCCTTAGTGCTCTGGCCAACCTCACGTGGCAGTCGAGGACGCAGGACGAGCACCCCAAGACGATGTTCTCCAAGGACAAGGTTGGACCGTGATGGAACTGCCACGGGCCCACGTCAGGGGTGGTGTCATCGAGGGGAGCTCAGGGAGGTGTTTTCTGTTTTCCCAGGATATTATCCCGTTCATTGATAAATACTGGGAGTGTATGACAACGCGGCAGAGGCCTGGGAAAATGACCTGGCCCAATAATATTGTCAAAACCATGGTAAGAACTGGGGGGTAGATCCCTGGAGGAATGAACACGAACGATGTGGCTTTGTGACATTGGTGTGTGCTGAGGGCTGGCCTTGGAGCTGAAGGGTGAAGATGCTGATGTGCCTACCGCATATTAATAGTGCATGTTGGGATTTAAACACTTGTTAATGGGTTTGTTACAATCTTACCCCGTGTGACTTGAACTCCTGTGTTTCAGTGCAAAGAAAGAGACGTGTTCCTGGTGAAAGAGCACCCAGACCCGGGCAGTAAAGACCCGGAGGAGGATTACCCCAAATTTGGGCTTCTAGACCAGGTATGTGATGAGAGGAGAGGGGGATCTGGGAGGAGGAGTGGGGGATCCTTTTGGTGCCTTCTGCTCAGCCAAGGGGCAAAGCTCTGCCACGAGTCCATGTTGTGCCGGCGGTGGGTGGGAGCTGCAGCACCTGGGAGTGCCCTGCTCGGGCTCAGGGTGGCCCCTTTGACCAACCTGTGCAGCAGATTGTTTGATCTCTTGCAGGACCTTGCCAATATCGGCCCTGCCTACGACAACCAGAAACAGAGCAACGCTGTGTCCACAAGTGGAAGCTTGAACGGCAAGTTCTGTGCTGGGGAGGGTTTTGGGTGTTTGGGACCAAGCTGCATTTCCCAGTGCTCTGGGCATCTGTGCAGTTAAACTCTCGTGTGAGCTGAGTTTGTGCTTGTGCTCAGAACAGTCTCACTGTGCCTTTTTATAGAAGGATTAACTTTAGTTCTTGGGAAGGTTCAGCTGTTTCTTTAGGGTGACCAGATAAACTGAGATGCTCGCCAGAAAGCTGAGCTAGTCAGTTTGCTCTTAGGATGCTTTTAGTTTACCTCCTTGTGTTATTCAGATTTCGTGTTTCCCTTTCTCTGAGAGTTGAAAATAGCTGGGGAATGGGTAAATATATAAATTATTCCTTGTGCTCACTGTTTGTGCTCTGCTGTTATTCCTTGAGGATGACTGCTGTGCTGTCCCATCCTGCTGAGGTTGCTCAGGGTGACCTTACAGCAGTGAAGTACCTGCTGATGAGAATATATATTAATAATCTGCAGTAAACACGTCCCAGTAGCACAGGCAGGAGGTATTCGGGGCTTTTTAAAGAAGGTGTCTCAGGTGTGTTGTCTCCATGTCATGCACTGGTTGTTTTATATTTAATTTCTGGGAGACTGACAAATATGTGGTGCCACTTCTGTTCTTGCAGGTGGAGCCTCTCTGGGAGGTGAATATTTACCTTTCAGCTTCTAAAACTTAAGTATTGCTGTTTGCAAAGCTTTTTTGCTTGATTCTCTTAGAAGCCAAAGTCAATTAAAAATGAAAGCGCGCCCTGATGTGATCGCAGTCAGGCTTTAATACAAACCAGCAATTCTACTCTTTAATCTTTAGCAATTAGAAGCTTTTATTGCCATATTCTGCCCTACTTGACTGTTTTAAATGTTTTATTTGTGTATTTTACTCTTATGTTTATTTTTACTCTGTGTCAATTGACCTGATGTTGTCATTTTAAACTCTTAACACCTAAATAATTTGGTCTGAAGCTTACAGTGTGATGGTTTGGGCAAGTAAATGTTTACCAACTGCAGATACTGAACGTTTATCTGCACTGAAACCAGATCAGGTCATGTTTGTGCAGAATATGGCATTCCCTGGGTGATTTGGATCCCTTACACCATAAGGGAATGCTGGTAATGGAAGAGCTGACTGGATTTTTAATTACCACACGAATGCAGTTCGTGAAGGTGTTTTTCTACAGTACGTGAAATTTCCATAGTTTTCCTTGTGAATCAGCACTGATCTCTTTGGAAGTACCGTGATGATAAAATGCACATATGGTTTAATTTATTAAAATGTCGTGCTGATCTTAGTTTGATTAAATTTGATGTGCAGTCTTTCCTGTACTACAGTCCTGTGAGTTCAGAATCAGTGCTGTGGGTCAGACTGGTACACTGTTCAATCCCAGAGCTGACTTTGGTGATACTGAAGAGAAACACCTCTTGCTTTTTGTTTTTCCTCAGCGTAGGTGTGTTTTATTTTGTAGATGGAAATTGAACATTAAGTGCTTCTTGCTGATTGGTGTCAGAGTGTCCCCCCAGCACAGGGTCACTGGGATGGTGGCTGTGCTGTAGGGTGGGTTTCTGCTGCTTCTGCAGAAGTAGATTGGAACTGTGACTGGAATCTCCATGAAAGATTAATAATAATAATAATAATATCTCTGAGGTGGATCCCAGCGCTGCTGCCTGTAGATCTTCTGATGACAGAAAAGATTCTTAATGCTGACCTCAAAAGCTCGGGTTGAGCTCGTTTTGCTGCTCAGTCTCCCTCAGCTTCCGCTCCAAATTTAGTCCCCTGTGGATTTTGCTGTGCTCATGGGCACCAAGGGCTGGTTCACATCGCCTGTGGACAAAAAGCCCCTGAGCCCACGAGCTCATTTTGGTTTGGCTGCTTCTGCCCCTCTGTCCCTGGAGATTCTGAGTGTGCAGGTGCTCCCTGAGCCCCAACCCCTAACGTGCCTGCTCTTGTGTGCAGGGGGAATGGCTGCTGGAGGCAGCGGGAAGGGCCGGGGAGCCAAGCGCAAGCAGCAGGACGGAGGGACCACGGGAACAGCCAAGAAAACCCGGAGGTGAGAGGAGGGCATGGGTGCTGAGGTGTTGGGCAGGGACGTCTGCACTTGGGATGCCTTAAGCTGCCTCCCACCTGTCTCTGCCTCGGGTGGGTTCATGGGCAGTCACTCCAGAGCCCTGTGGTGGTACTGATAGCTCAGAGGCCATGAATCATTTGCAGTGGGTGAGTGTGTGCTCAGTTTTTAGGTGAGTGTGTGCTCAGTTTTTAGGTGAGTGTGTGCTCAGTTTGTAGGCGAGTGTGTGCTCAGTTTGTAGGTGAGTGTGTGCTCAGTTTGTAGCTGAGTGTGTGCTCAGTTTGTAGCTGAGTGTGTGCTCAGTTTGTAGGTGAGTGTGTGCTCAGTTTGTAGGTGAGTGTGTGCTCAGTTTGTAGGCTGAGTGTGTACTCACTTTGTAGGTGTGTGCTCGTTTTGCACAGACACCACTGTGCAGCCCCTGAGTGCAGGGACAGCTCTGCAGGGGGATGTCCTGGGGGGACCTGTGACAGCACCACAACCACTGGGAGATGCCAGCCTGGGGTTTCTGTTGTTTCAGTGACCCGTTGTTCTCAGCTCAGCGCTTGCCTCCCCACGGGTACCCTCTGGAACACCCCTTCAACAAGGATGGGTACCGATACATCCTGGCCGAGCCTGACCCCCACGCACCCGACCCGGAAAAGCTGGAGCTGGACTGTTGGGCAGGAAAACCGATTCCTGGGGACCTGTACAGAGCCTGCCTGTATGAACGAGTCCTCCTGGCACTGCATGACCGAGGTACAGAGCTCGTTAACCTGTGCAGGTTGTGTTTCCTTACAGGGGCATCTCAGTGACCTCTCATTACCCAGCCGGTGACGTTTCAGGTGTAATTGCTGTTAGAGGTGCAGATGTCAGGTCTACCTCTGCATGCATTTGCCTTTTGACATCTCCACCCTTTAGAATTCACAAATGACTGCTCGTGTCCCCCCCTGCAGCTCCCCAGCTGAAGATCTCTGACGACAGGCTGACTGTGATTGGCGAGAAGGGCTATTCCATGGTGCGAGCCTCCCACGGCGTGCGGAAAGGAGCCTGGTACTTCGAGATCTCCATGGATGAGATGCCTCCAGACACAGCTGCCAGACTAGGCTGGTCACAGCCCTTGGGTAAATAATGTTACCAAATACTTGATAGCAGGTGCTCCTGCTACATTCCACGTGCTCACAACAAAGTGTTTGTTTCTGCAGGGAACCTCCAGGCCCCTCTGGGATATGACAAGTTCAGTTACTCCTGGCGCAGCAAAAAGGGAACCAAGTTTCACCAGTCGATAGGGAAACACTATTCATCTGGCTATGGACAGGGGGACGTCCTGGGATTTTACATCAGCCTTCCAGAGGACACTGAGACGGCCAAATCCCTGCCTGACACCTACAAAGACAAGGTGAGGGGCGAGTTCACTGTCGGATTAAGCTTTGGCAGGTGGATAAAAGTGGCATACAGGTTGTTCTGGCCTCACTCCTGCCCCTTTCTGTGGATCCTTCCCATCCTGCCTCTGGGTACCTCCATGGTTCATAGGGGAGAGGTCCAAAGTGTTGATCTCAGGAAAACAAAATACTCCTGGATGGGATTGCCCACGTCTCGTTTCATCTTCCCCTCCTGGCTCTCAAATACTTGAGCTGTGGGAATCACTCCTCACAGGTACTCTGGCACCAGGCACACCTGTCCCCGAGCAGGGCAGGTGACAGGTAACAGATTTTCAGGCTTGCTTCTGACATTGTTTGCTGCTATTTCAGGCTTTGATCAAATTCAAAAGCTACTTGTACTTCGAAGAGAAGGATTTTGTGGACAAGGCAGAGAAGAGCCTAAAGCAGGCACCTGGAAGCCAGGTGAGTTCTTGGTGTCACTTCAGCACACCTGGTAAAGGGGAACAGGGGGTAATCCTGGGAGAGTTTGCTGTGTTGTGAGAGCCACCATCAGTGGGAAAACCTTTTTTCATTTTTCAGATCATATTCTTCAAGAATGGTGTCAGCCAAGGGGTCGCCTTTAAGGACATCTTTGAAGGGGTTTATTTTCCTGCCATTTCTTTGTACAAAGGCTGCACAGTAAGTGAGGTGTCTTTGCAGAGAGTGCCTAAATCCACCAGTTTAAGGGATGCACAGAGTGTGAGTGCTCTGGGAGCACAAGCTGGGGTAGGCTCAGAAGCAGGAGGGGATGAGGACTGAGGACTAAATAAATTTTCCTGTTTTTTTAGATCTAATGAAAATGTGTCTTCCCCAGGTTTCTATAAACTTTGGGCCGTATTTCAAGTACCCACCCAGAGACATCACTTACCGCCCTGTAAGTAAAGCTGAAGCTTTTTCACCCCCCTATCTGGGAGACTCAGTGTTTAAAACAAAAGGTATTTTGGTGTGATTTGTACCACAGCACAGCCAGAAGGATTGTGTTTAAAAATACTTAAGTACAGCTAGCCCAATCAATAATTTAATTTTCATTAAACAGTAGATGCTCTCTTGCTCCTCTTGACAGATTGTAAGGCCCTGCTGTTGCCTGTGTTGGCCTCTTTTATCAGTAAGAGGGTGGAATTGTTGTTTTAAGGAAACACTTGGAATTTTTTTCACCCCACCAATGTTTCCAGGAGGGGAACAGCCCTGGAATGCTGCTGCCAGTCCTTCCCAAGCCTGTGCTCCCTGGCTGGAGCTAACTGTCCTTCCCTCTGCAGATGAGTGACATGGGCTGGGGCGCCGTGGTGGAGCACACGCTGGCTGATGTCCTGTACCACGTGGAGACAGAGGTGGATGGGAGGAGGAGCCCACCCTGGGAGCCATAAATCCCTCACACCGTGGATTTATTGCAGAGGAACATCCATCCCCCGGTGACCAGCCACGACCCAACAGGCTGAGGTGTTGTGTATGTGTTACCTGCTGCAGGTTCACACCCCTTCCCCCTGCCAGAGCGTGAGTGGGGCAGGTCTGGGGTGTTTTGTGCTATTTTGGGGCATCTCTTGGAGCCTCCAGTACCGTTACAGCGTCACTCCCAGGAGAAGGGGATGCTGAGGTGCCTCCTCCTGGGCTGTGACTGTCGGGTGCCCCTGAGAACAGGGTGGAGGTGGACCTGCCAGGTGTAGGTACAGTGACACCTGTGCTCAGGTGCGTTTGGCTGATTGGGACCAACAGCTCCCAGCCAGGATGGCTCTGTTGGAACGAGACTGCTGCATGTAAGACTGAAATTTGGGCTTCTGTCCAAACTGTATTTTTTTTTTTCCCCCCCACAAACTGGAAACCAGTTTTAAAATAAAGGTTTTAACTCTTCTTTTTATTCTGTTTTGGTCTTGTAAATTGTTACAAGCGAGATTTAAACTCAAAGTAGCTACATTTGGAGATCTCTCAAGCTGAAGATCTGGCTCGCAGGAGTTACACTGGGCCTCCTGCCAATGATCATCATTGCAGAGCTTTTGGATGAATAAATAATTTGACACTCTGTCTGTGTCTGTACAGGAAAAATAAATTAGAGCTGCTTTGGGTGGGGAGAGGGAATAAAATTGTTAGTTAAGTGCTGTGTTTTAAGTCTAGGGGGAGCAAAAGGTGAGATTCAGTCAGGCCTGTGTTTCCCTCACTGAGGATGTATCTTCCCAGTCAGATGTTTGGGACCTCCCTAATAACTAATTATCCCAGGCCTTTAATTGTAGACACCACTAATTAAAGCTTTATTTATTCAGTGACAGTAATTAGGGAGGGTAGAGGTGCCTGACTGGGCCAGCACCGTGCTCAGTGAAGCAAATGTGGGACTTCAGTTTTTGGTCCTGCACTTCCACAGCGCTTTCCAATAAATAAACCTTTATATTTATTGATTGAAACCGTGTCTTAATTAGCAGTGTCTGCTGCTAAAGGCCTTGGCTGATCAAAGTGACTCCCCCTTTGCCCCCTGAACAAAGCCCTGCCCCGGGCGGTGGGCGGGTCCTGGTCAGCAGGTCACGGGCACGGGCCGGGCCAGGCGCTGCCGGAGGTGTTTGGCGAAGTCCACCTGTGTCTGGGACAGGACCTGGTTGATGATGGTCTTGGGCAGCCAGCCCTGGAGAGGAGCAGACACAGCCTGTGAGCGGGACCTGCCTCCCCCACAGCCCCTGTTCCCCACCCTGCGCCGTTCCCCCTACCTTGAGGTCGATGCTGAGCAGCCAGGTCAGCCTGGTCTGGGAGGGGCTGCCGGGCAGCGGGCGCAGGACCATGCAGGTGGGACCGTTCTCAGCCCTGCCAGGGAGAGAGGGATCACATCAGACCCAAAATTCAGACTCTGAGCCTCAAAACCACACTCTGTGCTTGGGGGTTTCCTCAGCAGCTCCTGCTGCCCAGACAAACCCAGCGACTGAGCCCCTGCTAAAACCCTGCTCCCCCGTGGGAATCTCCCTCCTGGCACACCCACAAGTGGACTGAACAGGGGGTTACCTGATGAACCCCTCCTGCTCCGGCATCGCCCCGTATGTGGTGGACATGCCGGCCAGGACGCAGGTGGAGCCGCGTCTCTTGGAGCACCGCACGCTCACGAAGTCCCGGGGCCCGACGATGTTCCCGGGGGTGGCTGCTGCCTTCTCATGGGTGATCACCGTGTCCTTCCCAATCTTCTCCAGGATCTGCCGTTTGGAATTAAACCCTCAGTTTGAAGTGTTCAGTGCCTGCCGCGATGGGCCCTTCCAGTGCCACAGGGAGCAGGACCCCTGTGAACCCCGACTGTGACACACACGTTTCCTACCTTGACTTCTTTGACGTTGGGGTTCCACTCTCCCATCTGCTCCATGTTGTCCACCAGCTCTCCGTACACGGAGTCCAGGGGCTGGTCCACCACCACCTCCAGCCGGAACACCTTCCCCACGTCCGGCAGCACCTTGCTCAGCACTTTGTCTCCGTTTCCCTGGAGGGGGCACAGCAGCATTAACACCACGGCTGTTCACAGGAGGAGCGGCAGTGCCACAGGGCAGAGCACCCACCGCCACCGTCTCTGTCTTCCAGCCGTCCTGGTCCTCCAGGATTCTGAGGGATTTCTGCAGGGCTTCCTCTCCTTGCTTGATGTAGGACATTTCCATCTCGCTGAAGGGCTTCTCCTCCAGCCTCGAGCCTGCCGGGACCAGACAAAGGCAGGAGTGAGTGCAAGAACAGCATAACGTGCCAGATAAGCTTTATCTACACCAAATACCATCTCCATGCCCTGGGACCAGGGAATTAAACCCAATTCCCACCCTCCTGCTGGTTCAGCAGAAGCACAGCCCACCCACAGAAGGTTTTCCTCCAACCACTCCCTGGATCCCTGGCCCCTGACAGTCTCCCCGTGGCAGGAAGGGACAAGACCCCCCTCAGGCGGTCACTTACTGAGCAGGGAGCTCCTCCTGCGCACCTGGTGGATCCAGGAGCTGGGTCCTGGGCTGCGGCAGGCGAGTCTGCTCAGCTCCTGGCTGAGGGCCACGGCGGCTTGTCTCCTCAGACCTGAGGGAGAGAGCGTGTCAGGGGCCCTTCCAGGGCTTTTCCCCCAGTTTAAACACACAGCATGGAAAAGTCTATGCTTGTCACCTTCACTGAGTCCCTACAGGCACAGGGAGCAGCCACTGCACTACCTGTCCTAAGCAATCCCGAGCTTGGCTCCAGGTCCAAGCCATGCAGCAGTAAAAATACTGAGGAATATCAGGTGGCTCAGGAAAGAGCAGAGAAATGGAGCACGAAGATAGAAAACCCTCACCACCAGCGGGAGTGTGACCCAGAGCTGGCCACAGGGGCACGGGCTGTCCCCTCGGACCCCAGAGGCGGGTCTGACAGCAAGAAGGGCGGCAGGGACAGTAAACCACAAAACCCAGAAAGCAGCACAGCACAGGGTGGGGTGAGCAGAGCACCCCTGAGCTCGTCCTCCTGTCCGAGAAGGAGTTTAGAAAGCAAGAAGGGGGGGGGTCCTTTCTGCCCCCGTGACTCAGCAGGAGCTTCTCCAACGAGCTTCAGCGTGAAGCTGCCGCTGTGCCCATGACGGTGGGGACGGAGCCCCGCAGTCCCCCCTGCCCCAGGCAGCCCCTCACCGGTCATGTTGCGCAGGTGCCGGTAGGAGATGGCGGCGCAGAGCTTGGACGTGGCCGGGAGCATCGCGGTGCGTGGCGGGGTTCGGTTCTGCGGTCGGTTCTGCGGCCGGCGCGGCTCTGCCCCGGCCTCGCCGCCGCGGCCTTAAGTACGCGGGGCTGAAGGATTCTGCCCCGTCAGCCGCCAGATAAGAGCTGTCACTCACGGCGGGCCAAGGCCAGAGCCGGCTCCTCACGCAGCTGAGGGGCCGTGGAGCCGGCACAGGGGGGCACGGCCAGCCCTGTCCACGGCACAGCCACGGGGGCACAGCGGCTCTGAGGGCAGGCAGAGCCCCCCTGCCCGGCTCCCGCTGTGCCAGGGACAGACCCTGTGGCAAACACGGAACCACGGAATCAGTAAGGCTGGAAAAGACCTACCAGGTCATCGAGGATGATTGTCGTGGGTGGACAGTGGATAATAACAGGTGACAGCGGGCAGCAATGGACAGCACCATCTCACGACTCAGCCATCCTGGAATAACCAAGCCAGGCTCAGCCCAACCTCAGTAAACGCCGCACACAAGGACCAGGACAGCCCAAATAGAGCTGAATATTAAACATATTGAGCTGCTGAGCCTGGGCTGGGAGCAAGGGGCAGCCCTTGCAGCCCCCCTACCCCAAGCCTGGTTATCTGTCCCAGGGCTGGGAGTGGTGGGCAGCAGCAGAGCAGCGATAACGCTCAAGGCTAAAATGACATTTCTGGGATGAGTTACGGCCCCGAGACCAGCGCTCCCAGGAACCCGTGAATCACAGCTGCTTCCTTTGACGTCAACCCCTGCACCCTCCTGTGGGGAGCCTGACCTTCCTCCCTGCTGTTGCAACAACTTGGCCCAGGGGGAGGCCACCCCATTGCTGCACCAGCCCTGGGGAGCCCCTCGCCTCCCCAACTTGTCCCCAGAGCCCCTGAGATGATTTGGGTCCTACCTGCCATCCAGAAGGGTCCTGCTGCTCCTCAGGGTGCTCCTCTCCATCGCCAGGGCTGTTGTCCTCACCTCACGTTCACGTCAGCGATGCGTGACCAGACGAAGGTGCTGGAGGGACCAGGAGGAACCCAGAGGCTGCACCGTCCCCCTAACCAAATGTTTGCTGGGAAATCCTCGCTGCAGCCACGGTCTGTGACTCCCAGGTTGTGCCAGTGCCCTCCCCGCTCTGGGCTTCACCCGCCTGCTCCCTCCTGCCTGCACGTGGAGTGAGGGAAATTCCGGAGGGTTTGAAATCCCTGAGCTGCTCCTGGGAGCTCCCAGCCCAGAGCTCCAATCAAATGCACACAGAGCACCCACAGTCGGGGTGTCCAGGGAGACCAAAGACCCCCTGATATTGTGCATTACCCACAGCCCCCCTGCCCTGACAGTGAGGGGGACACAGCAGGGACCAGAGATCCCCCAGCTGCGAACCATCCAGGACTGTTGTTATCCCAGACGGAGCAGAGGCTCCCAGCACAAGGCCTTGGCACAAGGACACGCAGTTGTTTGTGAGAAGAACCAAAACAGCCCAGGCAGAGCTCTGGCTCTGGGCTGGGGGGCTGGAGGGCCATGAGCCCCACTGTGCCCCTCGGGAGGGGACATGAGGACAGTCACACTGTGCCACAGCACACGAGGGAAATGCCCCAGGTGACCCATCCCCAGGGCGCCACACAGGGACTCCAAAAAGGATTCCAGAACCCTCAGGGGGGTCTGGTGATCTGGGACACACCCAGGACCCTCACCAGCTCCTGATGTGGCCTCAGCACCTCCTCTGGATGTTCCTTGAGGTCCCCACGCTGTCCTCAAGCTCCTGCATCCACTGAGCCTGCGAGGGGAAGGGACAGCAGTGGTCCCACAGCAGCAGGGGTGGCACCAGGGGTGGCACCAGGGGTGGCCAGGAGCAGCAGCAGTGCCACAGGCACCAGGGATGGGACTGGGGTCCCAGCACCTACCTCAGGCACTGGGAAGGTGCCTCTCCATTGGAACACAGCTCGCCTGGCCAGCTGAGCCCACCGAGCTCCAGCACAGCCCCGCCCCGGGATGGGCACCCAGCACCCCCACCCACATCCTGCTGGGCAGGGAGGGGGGAGAATGTGCTGGGGGAGGTAAAACACTCGAGAAAGCCCCCACAGTCCCCCAGAAACGCCCCCCAAGTCCCCCCCCAAAGTCACCACGCAGCTCCATTTGCAGCTTTTCGCTTAAAAATGTACAACAGGTACAAATATTCACAAATGTACAAAATGGACAAAAACCGACCAAAGGCGCTGGGGATTCGCCAGGGCCTGAAGGGATGGGGGGGCCAGGAACCCTGAGGCTGCCCAGAGCTGCCTCGTGAGGACTGGGGGGAGGCCTCCCCACACCGCCCAGCCACCTTCGAGAACATTCCCCTCTCCCAGCCCGCTTCCCATCGCAGTGGCCGGAGCAGGGAAGGCCGTGCTTCCCTGGGGGGAGGCTCTGTCGGGGTGACCCCGTCCCTCCTGCTGCAGCTGGTGGGGCTGGAGTGTCCCCCCACTCCAAGGCTGCCCGTGTTGCTATTTGGAGAGCACAGATAAACCACAGCCCCCCCCGCCCCGATGCCCGCAGAGGTCACGCTCTGACCTGGCGATAAGATAACGGGCTCAAAAGCAGCAAAAATAGGTCTGTGCCCTGGTCCCTTCCCTTGGCAGCGGGGAGGGCAGCTGGGGGGAGAGGTGGTCCTGCAGTGGAAGCCCCCAGGAACAGGCTGGAGGGGTGGGGAGGTGGCAGGGTTGGGGTCAAGGCAACCTCCACCCCTCTGCCCCCATCGCCCCCTGCCCACACACATCAGCCCGTGCCAGCATCCCCCTCCCCTCCGTGAGCATCCCCAGAGCCCCCGGCCCCAGCGCTGCTCAGGATAACCCTGAGAGGGCACACGGGGGCCGGGGGCTCCCCGAGGGGTCAAGACGGTGCCGGTGGCGGGGTTTGGCAGGAGGATTTGGCCGCGGCAGGGTGTGAGTTCACAGCAGCCAGGCTGGGGGGGCGGACGGTGGTGCCGAGGGTGTAGTCGGCTGGCTGCAAGGAACAGGACAGATGGATGGTGGGCAGTGAGCCAGGGTGGTCTCGGGGACACCCCAGGGCACCCCAAGCCCCCAAGACACCCCCCTGTCCCTTACGTGTCGCCGGAAGAGCCGCTGCAAAAGGCTGCGCTTGGGGGGCTCGGGCAGCCGCTGCCAGTCCAGGTCGGGGGAGCGGGTCCCGCTGGGGCCAAACACGTTGAGGTCCTTGAAACACTCGGTCTCGATCATCTGGGGGGTTCAGGTCAGCGCAGGGTTGGGCACTGACAGCACCACAGCATGGGAGGGACCCTCTGGCGCACCACGCCCCCGGTACCTCGTTCTGCCAGGGGATGGAGACGCTGCCCGTGGCGAATTTGGCGTAGAAATCACTGTCGGTTTGGTCCAGGTTGACGCCCTTCACCGTCGAGAACTGCTCGATGTCCAGCACGTCCTTGCAATAAACTGCCCGTGGCTGCAGGACCCGGGGGGGGTGTCAGGGGGGAGTGGGGCTGTCCCCCCCCCATGGGTGCCCACCCCTGCCCGGCCCTTACGTCCGGCACGAAGGGGGGGGTCATGATTCCGGCCTCCAGCCGCTTGAAGTTGATGGTCCTGAAGAAGGGATGGCGCTTCACGTCGGCCGCCCCGCCGGCCCCGCAGCCCAGCCGCACCCCGGGGTCCTTGGCCAGGAGCTGGGGGGGAAAATGGGGCTGTCACAGCAGGGATGGCCCCGGCTCGGCCCCCACGGGGATCCCGGCCCCCAGCTCACCAACTTGCAGATGGCCTGAGCGTCCTCGCTGAACTTGTCCGAGTAGAGCTCCTGCTCCTCCTGCACCCGCTTCTCCACCTCCTCCCGCTTCACCCGCTCCTTGCGGGCGCGGAAGGGCGACTGCCCCTCGATCATCTCGTACACCAGGCAGCCCAGGCCCCACCAGTCGGGGCTGAAGGCGTAGCGCTCGTTGCTGATCACCTCCGGGGCTGTGGAGCACAGCCCCCAGCTGTCAGCACCGGGCACAGAGCGGCACAAGGACCCCCGGTCCAGCCCCACCGGCGCAGCCCTCACGCTCACCCATGTAGCCCACGGTGCCCACGCGGCCTCGGATGGTCTCACCCTCGGGGATCTTGACAGCCAGTCCCAGGTCAGAGATCCTGATGTGGCCTGGGGCAGGGAGGGGGCTGAGGGCATTGTCCCAGGGAAGGGTCACCTCACATCCCTGCACATCCCCCCAGAGCACAGCCAGGCACCCCCTGGATCGCACAGAGACCCATCCCCATGCCACGAGCATGGGCAGAGCCAGACCCAGCAGTTGCATCCTCACCATCGTCATCCAGCAGGATATTCTCTGGCTTCAGGTCCCTGTGGGGACAGAGGGGTGGCTCAGCACCGTGCAGAGGGGTGGCCCAGCACCCGCTGCCCCGTGCCCAGCCCACCTGTAGACGATGCCCTCCTGGTGGAGGTGCTGGAGCCCACAGCAGATCTCTGCTGCGTAGAAGGCCACGCGCTTGTCCTCGAAGCCGGGGTTGCCCATGTTGTAGATGTGGAACTTGAGGTCTCCCCCGTTCATGAGGGTCAGCACCAGGCACAGCGCGTCCTTCGTCTCGTAGGCATAGGCCAGGCTCACCTGTGTGCCCACCTGGCTGTCAGCGCCGGCCCCGCCACCCCCAGGCCCCCCAGGACGGTCCCACACTCACCACAAACCGGCTGTTGACCTTCTCCAGGATCTGCTTCTCGTTCAGGGCCATCGCCTCCCCTTTCCGCTTCTTGATCCGCTTCTTCTCCAGTTTCTTGCAGGCGTACATCTTGCCCGTGGCCCGCACCTGGCAGGCGCACACCTGGGGGGCCGGGGACAGCGATGGGGCGCGTCCCCTCTGCCCACCCACCCTCCAGCCCTCCCTCCTCCCGGGCCGTACCTCTCCGAATCCGCCCTTGCCCAGGATCCGGTACTGCCGGAAGGTGTCCTTGGTGACGGCCTGCCTGGAACGCACAGCCCCAGCCGGACACGTCAGCCCCGCGCCCTGCAGGGCCCCCAACACCCCTCAGAGCCCTCACCTCTCCAGGTACTTCCACTGCAGGAACCGGTCGAAGTACATGCTGGCCCGGTAGTCAGCGAAGGGGTCCCCGCTCAGGAACTGGTGCAGGGGGCTGAGGGGAGAGGGGGTTGTTGGTGCCACCGCAGCCCCCGGTCCCCCAGCCCTGGGCCGGGTGCTCACCGCAGGCAGCTGCTGAACAGGTCCTTGCAGGGGCTCTTCTGCAGGTCCTGCAGGTACTGATTGGCGTGGGGGTGCCCCACCTCAGGCAGGGAATCTGGGGACTGCCAAAGGGAGCAGAGGGATCACACCCACGCCCTGGGGACATCGCTCCTGCACCCCACCCGTGATCCCATCTCATTCTGGTCACTCCCTGGTGGGGGAAAAGCCCCCCAGGGCTCACCTCCTGCTGGAGGAACCGCTGGATGATCTCTTCCCCCATCTCCTTCCGCTTCTCATCTGGGGAGAGTTCGTACTCCTCCTGGGATGCCCAAGGAGAAGAGGGTGCTGCAGACAGGGCACCAGGCACAGCTCTGCCCTGTGACCCCACCCAGCCTCCCCACCTCCCAGAATGAGGCAGGTCTGCCCCAGCTACGGGGTGAGGGATCCTCCTGCTCTTGCCCACAGCAGGCACACCTGGGACCGCTCCACAGCCACAGCCATGGGGTCACACTGAACCTGCCACAGGGCTCAGCCCAACCCCAACAGCCCCGGAAAACACCCCCGTGCACCCCGAGCATCCCGAGGGTCCCTCACCACGGCGTCCAGGAAGCGGATGCAGCGCAGGAGCTCCGGCCGCGTCTCGCAGAACTGCCGGAAGAGCAGCCGGCCGATGGGCTGCCGCTGGCACAGGCTGCCGTAGTCCTGCTCTGCAAGGGGAGGCAGGAGCTGCCACGGGAGGTGCCCGGCACGCGCTGCAGCCACGGCTGGTTCTGCCAGGCGCCCTCCCGGCTCACCCAGGCCCTCGCGCAGCTCGTCACACTGGCTGATGTGCGGGAACCGCAGGATCTCCCTCCACTTCTTGCTCCGGCCTTTCCTCTTGCCGCCTCCTCCTGCAGCCGGGAACGAGGGGCTGAGGTCACGCTGGCAGGATGGGTGTCTCTGCTCTGGCCCACCGGTGATGAGGGAAATGGGGCAGCAGAGCCCCTGCCCAGTCCTGCAGGGCCACCTGGTTTGGGGGTTCCCTCATCCCACCGCTCCTGGCCCCCAAAACCCATCGCTCACGCACCACACGCTGCCAGCACTGCTCTGGACTTTGGGCACTGCTAAATCCAGGTGGGAAAACAGACTCCCAGCGCCAGGGAGGGCTCTGACCCTTCAGGGACCCTGATTCTGAACAGCCAAGGGGATCCCCACCCAGTCCTGACTCCTGGGGCAGGGAGAGGATCACCCTTGGCATCCTCTGGCACCAGGGGATGAGCCTGGCGTGTGCAGGATTCCTCCTGCACAGTGTCGCTCCCTCCTGTAAACATCTGGCTTCCTTATTCCCCCATCCTCGGCGGTGGGAACTCTGCAGGGACACAGAGGGGGCAGAGGGGTGGCCCCCCACCAGCACCGCTCCCTCCTGGGTGGATGCTTGGTGCGTGAAGTCATCCCTGCAGGGACCTGACATCAGCACGGCCCCGAGCTGGTGCCCAGCCAGCACCGCCCGCCGCCGGCCCCGGTGACGCCGAGGCGAGCCCGCGGTGCTGGGCTCCGGCAGGGCCGGCGCTCCGGCCGGGCAGAGCTTCCTGCCGTCATCGCCGGCTTCCTCCGGCAGGAATCGCCCCGCGCCAGCCAGCGGAGCGGCCTCGGGTGCGAGAGGGCCCTGGGCCCCCTGCTCACCCCGACAGCAGGGCACAGGGTCCTGAGGAAGAGGAGCAGCTGCTCCCCTCGGCCTGCGGTGCCCAGGCTGGAGCCCCCTGGCAAAGGGATGATGCCCAGGCAAGGACCTTCCACCCGCCCCAGGAGCGGCACGGCGGGCCAGGCCACCCTGACCTCGCAGGGATACTCAGCAGGATGCTCCTGGGATGGACCTCACTGGGCCCCCTGTGCTTTCCAGCACCTCCCACGACAGCCTGTGACCCTGAGCGTGGGGATCCCCAGCCACGGCTGTGGGGTCTCAGCTTTCTGCTGAGGTGGCTCCAGTCCTCCCCACTGCTCCAATCTCCACCCAGCCCGGGTCCCAGCCCTTGTCCCAGCCCTCGTCCCACTCCACTTCCCTGCTTCCCTCACCCGTCACCTCTCACACCGTCACACACCGACATTAACCCGTTTGGTGCCCGCAGTGGCAGAACCGCCCTCGCTCCAAATTCCCCGTCTCCAGCACCAGCTCGGACGAGGCTCTGGCTCACGCAGGAGCCATCGCACATGCCATGGGACAGGAGCAGCCCCGAACAGGAGCATCGCTTGGAACGCCCGCGGCTGCCTCAAGCTGCCGACGCCAAACCTCTCCCTCCCTGGCGAGGGCAGCAGCACCGCTCCGGCCCGGCACGTGGGCCGACCCCGCGGCACCCCCAGCACTGCCGGGAGCGACGCGCCGGGGGTGAGGAGACCTTGGGGATACAGGGATGTACAGGACCAAACCCTGATAAACGCCTGGCCCCCGCCTCTCCCGCAGGGCTGCGCCGGCGGCTCCAGGGCCGTTCGCTTTTCGGTCAGGAAGGTTCAGTGACGAGGGCGCCGGCTTCCCAAAGGAAACCAAAAGCAAACAAAAGGCTCCCTGGGAGCCCGTGCCAAGTCCCGCTCCGGAGGGACGCGACGCCCGCAGCCCCTCGGCCCGGCGGCCGCGGGGCTCGCACCGGGACGGCACCTCCCGGCGAGGCCGAGCTCGTCCTCGCAGCGCCCGTTTGGCCCCGGCCTGCACCGAACCGTCCCGGCACCGGCAAAGTTTGGCTGGCGCGAGCCCCGTCCGCGCCAGGCTCGTCCCACCGGCACGGACACACGGACAGAGCGGCTCCCCCGCCACCCCTGCACACGCACCCCTCGCGGAACGGCACTAAATCGCTTTTTACGCTCCCCGCTCCCGCCCCCGGGGCTGCGGGCGGATGGGACGGACGGACGGACGGACAGACACGTCCCAGCGCACCGGGCACAGCTCCGGGGCAGCCGGTCGCTCCCGGGGCTCGGCGATGCCACGCGGGACGAGCCCACCCGGTACCCGCCGTCCCGACAGAGGGGTCCCGGCGTGCCCGCGAGAGGGTGCGGGGGGTGCAGCCCGGGACCGGGGGTGCCCGTTGAGAGGGGGTCGCGGGGAGGGCACCGGGGTGCAGCCCGGGAACGGGGACCGGGGCGGGGAGCAGGGACCAGGTGCCGGTACCTTCCCGTGCCTTGAGCAGGACGGTGTTGGCCACGATGTTCTCCAGCTCCATGGCGCGGGGGTCCCCGCACACCATGCCCGGCGCGGTCCGGGCGCCTCCCGCCGCCACCGGCCGCCACCGGCCGCCTCCGGGGCTGCGTCACCGCCGTGACGTCACGGGCCGCCCCCGGCGTCACGGGATTATGTAAAGGGAGAGCGGGAGCGACCCCGCGCTTCGGGGGTCCCCCCGACACCCCCCTCGGGGCCGCATCAGCTCCTCGCACCGCACACCCCCGGCTGCAGACACCGACCCCGAGACTACCGGCACCAGCGCAGCCTTCCTCCTCCTCCTCCTCCTCTTCTTCCCACCCTCCAGGAACGAGACCCCAGGGCTCTGGGGAGGGGGGTCCCCACCTATCCAGATCCCAAAAAGCCATCCCCCTCTCGCCGGGGATTCTCCAGCTGCAGGAGCCACCTCCAGCTCCATAAAAGCTTTTTTTTTTTTTAGCATTTCCTTGTTTACACCTTTGCCACCTCCCAAATCCTCAACACCCACTCGAGCCCACCCAACAGGGCAGACACGTTTCCCCCCAAAGTGAGCAGGCCCTGGGCCAGTGAGGAGGGGGCAGTGCTGCCACAGTGGCTGTTGGCTCTCCAGGACAGCTCTGCTCAACCCCAGCAAGCAGAGCTGGGCTTGTCCTGCACAGAAACCAGCCCCTTTGGAAGGCAAAACCCCTGCTGTTCCCCCAGCACAGAGTCTTTTCCCCAGAGAACTTCTCCCCTGCCCAGGAAAGGGGTCTGAGGCTCCACAGGGATTGTCCCTGCCGAGGTTTGCCCTTCCCTGCCCACGCACAGGAGGCTCCTGGAGCCTGGCAGCTGCCCAAAGCCAACCCCAACCAACGTCACAGCCAAGGACTCTCCTACCTCCGGCAGCACCAGGACACGCTCGGGGCAAAGGACATTCCAACCTGAGACAGCAGCGCTGGCTCCACCAGAGCACTGAGGTGAGGAGGGGCTGGAAGTGGAGGGTCTGTGGTGCCCCTGGTGTGGCATCTCTTCATCAGCAGGTAGGTGGGTTCAGCTGGTAACCAGTGGGTTCAGCTGCAGGGGAGCAGCACAGCCTGGCTGGGGGTGCTGGTAATCTTTGCTGGGGTACAGGGAGTGCACCCAGGTTCCGCTCCCCATCCCAGAGGGAAGGATCTTGCTACATCCTCCAGCTTTTCCTTGGAGCAAGCCCACTTCCCCTGCACAGCACCTGGCAGGGACACGAGTTGGCACAAGGGGTGCTCACCCTGAGAGAGGGGGGAACGCCAGGACCAGAACACTGGAAAACCAGTGATGCCAGGATCGAGGATTTATTTACAATTCAAGGAAAACTCTCACACAGAGTCACATGAGGAGGAAGAAAACCAAACAAACCCAAAGAGCAGCGATGTGCCTCCCGAACACAAACGCTCGCTCCCAGCCGTCGTGCCAGACCTCATCTCCTTCTCTGCAAGGAGTCTAAAGGCATGATTTGTGTAGAGAAAATACAATCTGAAAATAAAGCCCGCCTTCCCAAGGAGCTCTGTCCCTGCCCAGGCGGATCAGGAGCCCACAGGGGCAGCAGCTCTAGTACTCGTCCAGCGTGTCCGCCCGCGGCACCGACAGGCCCCGCTCCTTCAGCGCCTGCACCTTCAGCTTCTCCGACTCCTGCTTGGCCTGCAGCTCCACCCGCTGCTCCTCCAGGATCTCTTCAATGGACACCTGCTGCAGAGGTGTGTCGCTCTCCTTCTCCAGGTCCTGCAGGAGAAATGACCTGTTCAGCCCGCCCCTGACAGTGTCCCCTGGTGCAGAGCCAGCAGGGAGGTGCGAGAGGCAGCCACTAATGCCACCCTCCAGCAATGCCACACACAAGCTGGAGCTTCCCTGCAGCTCCCCACGTTGCTCTTCACCCTTCATGTCATCCCCGATGGAGACACCTCCGCCCTCTGCACCCCAGGGGCATTTCTGTGATGGTTCAGCCTGAACTGGCCCTGGGAAGGGGCTTAAATTCCAGCCCCCCAGCAGGACAGACAGACCACAGACGCCCCCAGCTCAGTCCCAGGCTGCAGCAGGAGCTGCTCACTTACAATTTCCCCCAGCAGAACCACGTTCTCGCCCCTCACGACAAAGATGCCCCGAGGGATGTCCCCATACTTCTTGCCCACGTGGATGCGCTCCACAGTCTGGTGCAACACCAAGTTTGCTACAGCGGCGAGAGAGACAGAAAAGCATCCACATTTCGCTGCGATTTCCAGCTGCACCGCGTGTCCCGTCCCCCCAGGCAGAGCCCCCAGGGCGGTGATGGTGCTCTCCCACCACTCGGTGGGTGCTCCCCAAAGGCACAGACCGTGTCCCCAGCTCTCTCCACCTGGGCAGCTCCTGCCCTCAGCTCTTACAGCCGTGCGGGCAGGGCGGGGAGAGAGCTCAGACCCCCGGGCTGAGCCCACCTGAGACCCTCGTGCCTTCGGCAGCAGAGAAGACGGCGGGCGTTGTTGGTGCTGCAGGTTCTTGGCAAGGAGCGAGCGATGGGCTGGAGCGCGAACATCACCCGGGCTATTTCTGCCCAAAAAGCGATGCCAGGGCATCAGCGCTGGACGCGATCACGGGGGGAAAGCTCCCAGTTCTGGGAGAAGCACCAAGGGACACACAGGCGGGCGTTTAACCCACAGCACAAACATACTCTAAAAACGCACCGCGGGTCCCTCCTCCTCCTCCTCCTCCTCCTCCCCCCTGCCCGGGACCGGCCCCAGGGGGTGCCCGCAGCCCCCCGTAGCCCCCGGCCCGGCCGTACCGAACTGGTCGATGCTGCGCAGGTACCCGATGAGCGTCCGCCCGTCCCGCAGCAGCACCAGGTGCTTCTCTGCGGGGGAAACGAGAGCGGGGCGTGGGTCCCGGTCCCGGGACGGCGCGGGGGGACCGGAGCCCGCGGGGGGAGAGGCCCGGGCAGCCCGCAGGGGGCAGGACGGCGCGGGGCGCACTCACTGTCGATGTCCTGGATCAGGCTGGCCGTGCCGGGCATGTAGTTCATGGTGCAGCCGCCGCAGCGGAAGCTCCGCCATGCGCCGGAGCCGCCGCCGCCGCCCCGGAACCGGGCGGGGCCCCTGCGGGGCGCGGCCCCTTTTAAGGCGTGCGCGCGGGGCGGGCGCCGATTGGGCGGTGTTGGCGGGGCGCGGGCGCCGATTGGGCGCGGGGCGCGCGCGGGGCGCGGCCATTGGCGGCCGCCATGGAGCGCCGCGGGCGCGCGGCCGCGCCGGGCCCGCCCGGGTCCTCCCGCCCGCCGGAGGCCGCGCAGGTAACGGGGGCGGCGGGACGGGCCGGGCCGGGACAGGACAGGCACAGCCCCGAGGGATCGGCGGCACCGACCCCGGACCCGGACCCTGCGCCCCGCCGGTTTGGGGTTCCCGGGGCTCTGTTCGCGGGGCTCCCCCTCTGGGCGCGTAACGGGGCGCAGGTGCCCCATCCCGGGCCCCGGCTCACGGGGAGGTTTCTGGGGCACGCGTTTTAGCGCGGCGATCCCGGTAATGCCGCCATCCCGGGCCGGTTCGCCCGGCGGGAGAGCCCCGATCCCACGGCTGGGCATTCCCGGACCCGATCCCTCGGCTGGGCATTCCCGGACCCGATCCCACAGTTGGCATTCCCGGGTCCGAGCCCCTGGATGGGCATTCCCGGATCCCTTACTGGGTTTATGGCAGCGAGAGCTTTTTTGGGGCCACCAGTTGCAGATCCTGTGCGAAGGGAAAGGCTTTGCCCTCCCAGGGCAGGGTGAGCTCTCCAGACACGGCTGTGGTTCGGTTTGTCCTGGAGGACTTTGTCCTGTGGGACGTGCAGGTCTGGTCCGGCTCTTCCATAAATCCCGGCACACAGGTTGAGCAGTCTCTGCTCCCTGAAGCAGCTCGGGGGCAAAACACTGCTTTGCCCAAAGCTACGGGGAGTCATCCCTGAGCTGCTGAAATCCTGTGCCTAGTCGTCCTCTCTGGAGTTGGGTGGAAGCTCACACAGATTACTGGGATGGATCCAGGTAAATCCCGACACGTCCTGGGTGTGCAGACCTTCCATACACAGGTTCTCAGACCCACACGAGCTGTGGCTCGGGGAGCTGCACTCCTGCTCCTCAGGCCTGGGGCTGGTACAGCTCCTCTGTTTGCATCGTGTCCGTGCGAGAATGAGCAGGGAAATGGACTTTCCTGGAGTGTTTTTCCCCCTCGGGTCAGTGATGCAGTGCTGGGGCCAAAGGAACTCCCCACTCCTGGAGCCCCTCTGCCCGTGTCCGTGTCCCCTCACCTCTCCTCTGCTCTCCAGGCGATGGATTCTCCCTATGCCAACGGAGCCTACAGCCCCCCGTACCCGCAGTACCCCAGCCTGCCCCAGGCACGGGGGTTCTACTGCTCGGGGCCCCCCCGGACCCCCTACCCCCCGGAGCCCACGGGCCTGTACCGGCCTCCATCGCCCGCTCCCGCCTGGAGCTACGCGTCCCCGGAGTGTCCCCCCGAGGGCTCCGCGCTCCGGAGGCAGCAGGTCCCTGGCTACTCCCCGCCACAGGTAAGGGAGGGACAGCCTCCAGCCCCGGGGTCGGTGTGTGCAGCTCGTGGGATGTTTCCTGGGGGGGCTGTGGTGGGGGATGTCCAACCTGAACCTCCCCTGGAACGGCTTGAGGCCCTTTGCTCTTGTCCTGTCTCTTGTTGGCTGGGAGCAGAGCCTGACCCCCACCTGGCTCTGCCCTTCAGCTCCCAGGGCTGTGTGGAGGGAGCAGTGCTGGGAGTGACCCCCTGCTCCCCCTCTCCTTGCAGACCCCGGGAATGCCGATCCCGCAGTATCCGTACGGAGACAGCAGTGCAGGGGTCCCGGCCCAGGGGCCTGTGCCACAGCCCAGAGCCCCGGAGGACACGTGGGGCCCCCCCTCAGTGTATGGGGTGCAGCCACGTTACAGCTGGCCCGCAGCCCCGGGCACGGGAACCTGTTCGTGCCCGACTCACACCCGTCCTGGACCAACAGCGGGGCTCCTGCCCACCCTCCCGCCTGGGACTCACAGGTACAGGTGGCCTCTTGGCAGGCAGGGGACCAAAATCCACAGTTGTGGTTCCACAAAGTACTGGAGGTACCAGACATCCCGGGGTGGGTCTTGAAATGGGTCAGACCTCGTCTTGCTTGTCCAAGAGCAGCAAAATCAGAAACTGTCCAGCGGGGAGCATGGGACTGACCCGTGGGACAAGTGTTCCACTGCAGGTGGCTCCACTGTGCTTGTTTTGGGCGCAGCCATCCCCTGCTGAGGAGGGGTTTAAGTAAACATCAGAAGGAAAATGTCTGTTCACCTCAGCTTGGTCTGGGTTTGATCAGGAGCCAAGTGACTCTCCAGAGGTTTGATCCCCGGGGAGCAGCAGCTCTGATGGGGGCACTTGGGGATGGGGGCTGCTGTTCCTTGGGAACAGCTCCAGAGCGTGCTGCCTGTGGAGAAGGATCTTCTGGTCTACCCAAACTGGACCGTGCTGAAATCTGTTCAGCATCTCCCCTGCCCCTGGGTAACGAGGGTTCAAGGGCTCACTCTGTTCTGCTCCAGACGTGTGCCCCTTGCTGGGGTTCTGCTCCAGCAGTGCAGACCCCCGTGCCCAGTTTCCCCCGCCCTGCCCACACGTGGTGCAGGCTGAGAGTGGAAACCCCCCTGGGGTTTGAGGGAAATGCTCTTACGGGTGTTCTCTCTGTCTGACTGCAGGACTCTGCCTACGACAGACCCGAGCAGAGCCCGAGCCAGCACGGCTGCTACTCGGAGGTGAAGCAGCAGCAGTCGGGGCCGGTGGGGGAGCACAGGCCGGCCCAGCCCCAGCCCCGGGTGCAGTACAGTGCCCAGCCCCAGCTGTACGACCTCGGCCCGCGCCGGCCCCCGAGCCGCGAGCACGGGGGGAAACCTTCCGAGCAGCCTCCTGCAAACCCCACAGCCCTCCAGCCCGAGATCCAGAGGATCCTCCATGTGATGGGGGAGGCCGAGCAGCTGGAGGAAGAGGTGGATGAGTTTGTAGGGAAAAAGACAGATAAATCCTACCGGCTCCTGGAGGAGATGTTGACCAAGCTGCTGCTGGAGCTGGATTCCATCGAGACTGGGGGCCAGGACAGTGTCCGGCAGGCCAGGAAAGAGTCCGTCCACAGAATTCAGGCCATACTGGAAAAACTGGAAAGAAAGGGATTGTGAAAGCACATCGGCCACAACACACGGCCTGTTGTTGAAGTTCCAAAGAGTTTCAGTTCTTTTAAATCTCAGCTCTTTCTGCTACGCACTACTGACAATGGAAAACAGCAATAAGCCCTGAGTTAACAATCAAACCCACAAAAAAGGCCACCCCAGAAGCCCAGCCCTGAGAGACAACTTGGCAAAGGACAAATTGAGAGAGGTTTGAAGAAGCAAACGTCATTAATGAAGATGTTGAAGAGGACTGGGCTGAGGATGGAGCCCTGTGGGGCTGTGTACAGAATTCCCCAGACCAAGCCCCATCTCCGGGTGCCTCCTGCAGCCACAGACGGTCTTTAAACACTTGCCAGATGTGCTGCAACGTGCAGCCACCGACCAAGACTCAGGGCTTGTCCTCACTGCCTGTATTTTCAGCTTCAGCTCCCTCACCATAAAGCCCGAGTGTCCTCGTGGGGGTTGTTTGGGTTTAGTGCACTCAAGGAGCGACACTGATGTGCTGGATGAGGCACCGTGCTGGCTCATCACGTCGGGCTGTTCCTCCTCTGGGGTGAAAAGCCAGTCTGGGGTGTCCCTGTGGACATAAGAACACAGAGTGGAAATCCCAGTTCTGCCATTGGAAAGGAGAACTGCAAGCGGAGGACTGATGTCAGAACAGATGCAGGGTGTTTGGAAGTGATTTCCAGGTCACTTGGGTAAAAATCCTGTTTAGTGTCCCTCTCATCCTGTGAGTTTTGTGTCCCACTGCACAGCGGGGAGGGAACAGCTCAGCCTGTTTCAGCCTCCTGGTTACAACGTGCTCAGTGACTCATTGCTCTGTGTGACACTTAATAAACCCTGACAAGTTTTAAATGTTATTTTGTAATTGAGACGTCTCAAAGTCTCCTTTTCTTTGAAGAGAAGTGGTGGGGAAGGTTGTGTAACTCAGACCAAAACTCCAGCTGGGCTGTCTGGGTGCCCAGGTCAGGGGTGAATGGAACATCTGAGAACACTGCTCTGGGGGTGCCAGGGTGTCCCATCACCTCCCAGGCAGTGCAGATGCTCCAGGAGCCTCCAGCTGTTGCTCCAGGAGCAGTGGCCAAATTTTGGAAGGGGTTCTGGCATGCCTGAGGCCGGGAGGGCCCTGACCATGCACTCTGAGGGGCTGACAGCCAACTGATGTCCTGGAGGCACCCAGCAAATCCCACATTCCCAGATGGGGCTGCATTCCCCCATGTCCTGTGCAGCCAGCAGCAGTCAGCCTAGAATCTCTGGAGCTGGCTGAGACTGTTTTCTGTGTTTGTTCCAGTAGCAAGAATCACATCAGGAGCAACCCCACATTGTTTATCACATGCTGTTTGCTCCAATCCCCATTTCCCTGCTCTCCGTTGCCAGGGAGAGGAGGCAGGTAGATCCCAGCTGTGTGAGGAGGAGTGGGGAGCAATCCTGGTGCCTTGCACTCAGCACTGCAATGCAGGGAGCCAGGAGAGAGGGACATGCTGTGCAGGTGGCTGGGGATGGGACAAAGGTCCCTGTGCTGTGGTGACATGGTAAGAACAGGGTGAGAACTGCAGGTATGTGCGTGGCATCCAAACCAGGGAAAACCCGTGAGGAAGGAGGAAGCTGCTTTGGAGTTTTGGTGCTGAACCCATCCAGGTTACATATTCCAGAACAATATTTCCTGTTCCTGCCTCCTTGGCAGAGGGTTATGTAAATCCCTAGTGAAAAGCACACGAGAGAACATTAAGTGGGCTGACAGAGCAGGTTATCATTGCAGGGGGTGGGGATTTGAACAGCTCCATGGGACGGCCTGGCTATGTGTGACCTTCTGGTGTACCTGGGTGCGCTCTGTGTGTTACCCCAAAGCAGAGCTGAGCTGAGCAAAGGCATCAGGGCACACCTCCTGCACTCAGCCTGCGTGAAACTCCAGCTGCTGGAACCTCATCCTTCCCCGCTGCCTCCACCTCCTTCACACGGGACCAAAGTGGGTCATGGCTTGGGCAGATGATCCCAACACAGCAGCCCGGGCAGGGCTGTGTCAGCACCCACTGGTACGGGCCCTGCACAGACGAGGTTTGCAGCTGTTTGCTCTCCACCTGCAGAGCTGGGGATTTTAGGGCTTCTGGCCTTTCAGTTTTCCTCACCAGTCCCTGCTGCGGTGGAAGTGAGCCCTGGGATGGGAGTTCCTGGCAACTGGTTTATCTTGCAGCATCCACCCACATCTCATCCCCCAAATTAGAAAGTCTGTCTCTGTTTATCTTTGGGCCCATCTCTACAGAAACCAAACTTACTCTGGGGTTGCCCGTTGCTCCTCCAGCAGCGCCAGCCCTCAGCAGAGGGTTTCTCAATCGCCACTGAGGCCAAAGGGTCACAGAGGGGCTGAAAAACAAACATTAAGTCAGCGCCTCGTGGTTTCTGCTGCAGATCACCCCACGCTCGAGTGTTTGTCCCTGCCGCACGCGGGAGGCAGCTGGCACGAAGGCAGGTGATGCTTCTCGGTGATGCTGCGCCGGCACCGCGCACCCCTGGCCCCGCATCGGGCTCGGGGCTGGAGGGACCCGCCCGGGATAAGGGCTGAGACCGGACAGTCCCAACCAGCGCTGGCACCGCCCGCGACGGCGCCTGGGCGCGGACCCGCCGGGGCCACTGCCAGCGGTGGTGTCTGCATGTCTGCAGGCAGGGAACATGGACAAGGGTCAGGACAGGGACCATGGGCAAGAGCTGCAGGCAGGGATTGCGGGCAGGGATTGCAGGCAGGGATTGCGGGCAGTCCCCGCTCCGCCCCGGCGGTGACGGCAGCGGGGGGGGCCGCGGGCAGCCCCGCCCCGGGCTGGGCGGTCACCGGGGCCGGAGCGGAGGCTGCGCTGCCGCCCGGACCGGGCCGCGCTCCGCAGCAGCCGCGGGGGCAGCGGGGCCGGAGCCGCTCGGGACCGGGCGCCGGGGCCGGGTCCCCGCAGGGCGCGATCCGCGGAGCTCCCGGCGGCGGGACCGGCGCTCCCCGCTCCGCAGCTCCATGTCGGCGCAGGAGCCGCCCCGGCCGGCCCCGGCCGAGCCCCCCGAGCCCGAGCCCGGCGGGCGGTACGAGGCGGTGGTTCCGCACTGGTTCTACTGCAAGGTCACGGACTCGCGGGAGCGCTGGGTCCCCTTCAGCGCGCAGGACTCGGAGCGGCTGGAGGAGGCGCACGGCGCAGGTAGGGCGGGATGGGCCGGGCTGGGCTGGGCTGGGGCCGGGAGCGCGGACAGAGCCCACCCGCCGCGGGGGTGGGGTCCCACGGCGTCCCCAGTGTCCATCTCCCACCATCCATCCACCCCTCGGATAGGGGTCCCTTGGCACCCCCGGCCTACAGCTCCCATCATCCATCCACCCCTCGGATAGGGGTCCCTTGGCACCCCCGGGCTACAGCTCCCATCATCCATCCACCCCACGGGTGGGGGTCCCACGGCACCCCCAGCCTCCAGCTCCCACCACCACTGTCTGTCAGTCACCCTTTGGTTTTGCATCCCACGTCCCTGCTCTTAAATCGGTGCAAAGAACGGGCCTGGTGAGGTCGACTGGGGAGCATCAGGTGCGTGCTCAGGGTAAACACTGTCTGGGTACCAGGGAAAAATTCCCTGGACACATCCATGGCTTCCACCTGGGATGCCAGGTTTTCCTTCGGGGAAATTTAAATTGGAACTTTTTTTGGCCACGTGCCTGGCTTCCAATATCTGAGCTGTTTGGAGGCATCAAATGGTCTGACTGTGTTCAATTGATATTGCTCTAAATTATATATAATCACAGCACAAAGCATCCTCTGGTGAGGCTGGGAGAGTGCTAGGAGGATGGCAGGAATTCTGCTGGGGGATTCCCCTCGTGGGGAAGCATGGAGCTGTGCCTGCTCTGGAAGGAGCAGGGGCTGGGGGGGTCAGGGGTCTGAGCCCTGCACTGAGGCCCTTATGTGCCAGATGTCACCATCTGTGCCACCTGCTGCTGCTGCCACGGGCAGAGCTCCGATTGCCCAAGGTTTGGTTCCTGTCCTCCCTCGCCCAGGAAGTTTTGGATTAGAGGTCGTGCTGCCCGCCCCCAGTGCCACAGCCCAGCCTGGCACGGGGCACTGTGCCACCAGCCCAGCCCAGGGCAGAGCCGAAAGACAGGGCAATTCACAGGATTTGAGGTCCGTATTGGGGTCAGTGTGGAGTTCTCCGGGAGTGGAATGATTTAGAGACCCAGCTGCAACCTGCCCCCCCCCATTACACAACACTCTTTCCAGGCCACAAATTCACTTTTACCCTCTAAGCAAGGCAGGAAGAGGCTGTGTAAGCCTGTGCCTGGACCAGAGCAAGGACAGTTAATGCCTTCATCTTACCTCCTGCCTCCAGGGGTTGGGTGGCTTGGGGCATCTCTCCCGGGACACCCCGATGCTGCTCTGCGGGCTCGGCCGTGGGGAGTGTCGGTGTCTGCTGCCGAGGCTCAGACCTGCTGTGCTCCGGCCTCGTCCCTCTGGCACGTTACAGCCTCCTGGGAGCACGCTGTTCTGAGCCTCCCGTGGTTAATTCCAGGCCTTGGTTCCCGCAGGGAAGGACCAGGAGGACGTGGTTGTGGCGACGTCGGGGGGCAGGTACGACGTGCACCTGAGGCGGCGGCAGCGCGTGGCCGTGTACTGGGAGGAGGAGGTGTCTGAAGTGCGTCGCTGCACCTGGTTCTACAAGGGAGACAAGGACAATAAGTATATTCCCTACTCGGAGTCCTTCAGCGAGGAACTGGAGGTAAAGGCACCTTTCCCGCTGGTTTCCAGCTCGGCCTCTCCTTGTCGCGTACCGGCCCTGATGTCCCAAACCCCGTACGGGGCCACTGGCGCCATAGTCAGGCCTGAGGACACGAACTCCAAAGAGGCTTTGGCACGGCGTTGCTGCAGCTGATTAATGTAACTGTGAGCACTGCTGTGGCCTCCCCGTCCCCTGCCCTCGTCCGGCTGCAGCTCATCCTCCTGCGACACCCTCAGCGTCAGGCTTTGCTTTGGGGAGATGCACATGTAGGGCTAGAGGTGTCTGTGTAAAAACACACAGCGCTGCAATAATCTCTGTTCTGATGTGCCAGAAATACAGTTTTAAGTTGATGGGAGAGTCTGATGCTGCTGTCAAAGGGGGGAGGTTCTTGGACACTCTCAGCAGGTGATCCTGGGATGACCCTGCTGCTCCTCCAGCTGATTTCTCTGCCACTTCTGCAAAGTGTTGATAAGATATTCTGAAAACTGGGTGGGGAATGTCTCAAGAGGTTGAACATTCATGGGAATACTTTCAGCTGACTCACAGAGGGTGTTCTCTTCTGTAGGAAGCTTACATGATTGCCGTGACCCTGGATGAGTGGAAGAAGAAGCTGGAGTCCCCCAGCAGAGAAGTCATTATCCTGCACAACCCAAAGGTGAGCAGGGCCTGGCATCTCTGGGCTGATCAGCGAGAACACCCCCTTGGGTCTCTGCAGGTCTTGCTTTGTGCTGTTCCCTTCAGCCATGTCTGCTGAGAAATGGGTTTCTCCCAGTGGAATTCCCCTCACCTGCCTGTGCCCAGGGTTTCTTCTCGAGACCTCTTTGCGCAGTGGGCTCGGCCCAGCGCAGTCTGGTGCCAGCCCGTGTCACCCGCGGCCGCTGCAGCCAAAGCTCTCTCTGATCTGCCACGGGTCACTGACAGGCCCTCCTTGTTCCCCAGCTGATGGTGCACTACCATCCTGTGGCCAGCTCCGACGACTGGGTCTCCACTCCCACGGAACAAGGCCGACCCCGGACTGTGAAGAGAGGGGTGGAGAACATCGCTGTGGAGATCCCCAACGGTGAGCCCGCCTCTCCCTTCCACCCATCTGAAGCTGTGGAGTGTTTTCCAACCACTTCTCTCAAACAGACTGACAGAAGC